GACTACGAGAGCGCCAGCAGGCCTGGCATCCGAAGGAAACCTTACGAGTGCGGACCTGCGACGCCAGAAGTCCACCCGCCAGCTTCTGCCGAGGGGGACACGCGCCGAACAGCGGGGGGCCCCCGGAGGCCAACAACTGTCAAACAGCTGCCGCCGCCACTTCTTCGCGGCGCGAGGCGCTCTCCCAGGGCGCGAAGAGGTCTGGGCCTCCTGGAACGCCCCCCTGCGATCAGCTGCGCGCAGGAGTGACCCCGGGCAAGAGTGACCTCTAGTGCGCAGACTACGGGGGCACAGGGTGGCCGAATGCAAGCGCGCCATCGGCCCGCCATCGCATCGCGCTCAGCGATCGGGGGGGGGCGTTCGAGGAGCCCGCACCGCAGATCACTCCAGCGAAGGGTCACTCTTGCGTCTAGTCGATGCATGCAGGATGTCGGCCTTCCGCCGGCTTCCGCCGTGGGCCGGGCGCGTCGAAGGTCTGCAACGTTTGCCTTTCCCGCGAGCAGCGCGTCGGTCTAACCGCTGCGCTGCTTGGCCCTGAGCAGCACCCTACGCTTGCCGCCGACGGGCGAGTGGTCTTCTTTCCAATCAAGGCCCATGTTTAAATCGATGTGCCGAATCTGACATTTCGAATTCGCGGCCCCAGAGCTCCCGACACCTTCCCCGGGGGTGGTTGTAAGACGAAGCCAGGACGAGGATAGCATCGGGTGGGGATACATCTTGAACTTCTGAGATCCAGCGGCTCTGGAGGATGTCTCGGGCACAGCGGCCTCCTCAGAGCGTTCCGAAACGCTCTGAGACCGTTCCAGAACGCTCCGGAATGGATTTATCCTCGTCCCAGCCCCGTCCGAAGTTGTGCGTCCCAGCTCCATTTCTGATGGCCCCGGGGCCGGGTGAACGGGCCCCAGAGGCCAAAATCGAGGAAACGCGGCTGGATTGAACGAACTTCTCGTCGGAGATTTGGGATCCCGCCGAGGGCAAGGCCCAAAGTGCCCCCACCTTTTCGCGCCGTTTTGGAGCCCCAGGCCCTGGGGCTCTCTTAACCTCGTGGGGGGTTTTCTGGAGGCCGTGGGGGCCTCCTTGGCAATCCTGGGGGCACCGTAGGCCCCCGTAGGCCAAGAGCACTTCTAGCAACACCCGACCTTCCTCGGGGGTTGACTTGCGCCCCTGCTCCACTTCTGGTGGCCCCAAGGCCCGACGGCGACCCCCCGGTGGTAGAAACGAAAGCACAGATGCCGCGGTCGAGCACGCCGGACCGCCGGAGGTCTGGAGGCCGGCCGCAGACGAGAGGGTCCCTGCCTGTGCAAGATGTCGGCCTGCTCGGACCGCACCGTCGCCGATGCGGCGCGATCCTCCGACCCCATCGGGTAGGGCCCCATCTGAGAGGCCTGGGCTGCCCGCCAGTCGGAAGATGCAGGTGAAAGCATGAAGTATGAAGGCGCTTGAGGTCGATTGGGATGTGGGAGTCCAAAAATGCCGACTTTCACCGACCAGCGTGTGGGGCCTTCGGAAGAAGCAGGTGAAAGCATGAAGTAGGAAGGCGCTTGAGGTCGATTGGGATGTGGGAGTCCGAGAATGCCGACTTTCAACGACCAGCGTGTGGCGGACCCCTATCGGCAATCCACGGGCGATCGGGGGTCGACGCGTCCCCCCTCCCCTGAGGCTACCCCCCCCCCCCCCCTAACGCCGCCCCCGAAGGCCTCATGGGGTCCTGGAGCGCCCCCCCCCCGCCTGCAAGATGTCGGCCTGTTCGAACCGCACCGTCGCCTGCAGAGCCTCTGGCAGCTGCGCCCGGCCGCGCTCCGCGACCTCGCGCGGGCGCAGAACAGATCCGCACCCGCGGCATCACGGGCCGGGCTCCTGGGCCGCGACCCCGCGGACACGGGGCGCGTCTTCGCGGATGCCCCGCGCGGAGCGTATCCGTTCGACCGCGTATCCGCGGACTCGCGCCGCGGAATTCACACCGCGAGGGCGCCGATGCGGACATGTTCGCCCCTCGGTTTTCGGGTCATGACTTGTCGGCCCTCCGGCGCCTGTTCGGCACGATCCAGGCACCCCCGGAACGCCCGCGGCGAGGCGCAGCCGCTGGAAGGCATCCCGAGGCTGGAAAGCCGCCGAGACGGAGTAAAGACGTCCAAAAGCTTCAAGCCTCGAGCCTCGGACCTCGAACCTGGAACCTCGGGCCTCGAACCGCGAGAGGGCGCGGATGCGGACGTGTTCGCCGCCCGCGGGCTCCGGGACCTCGTGCCGCAAGGTGGAGAGCTCGACGCCCGTGGCCCGCTCGAGGCCGGGGACCAGCAGCGCGGCCGCGACCACGGCGCGTCCGTCCCCCGACCCGAGGTCCAGGAACCTGGGAGGAGGGGTCACGTCAGGGGGGATAGGATCGGGGGGTAACGTCAGGGGTACTGGAGGAGCGTCAGGGAAGGATTGGGTAACGTCAGGGGGGGATGGGTAGCGTCAGGGGGGATAGGGCGTGGAGGATGGGCAGTGGGGTAACGTCAGAAGGGGGTTGGATCAGGGGGCAACGTCAGGGGAGGACGGGCAACGTCAGCGGTAATGTCAGGGGGGGATCGGATCAGGGGGGAAGCAATCAGAATCCGCAGCAGGGATGCAAGGTGAGTAAGGACGCAATACCCTCGGAAGTCCTATTTGCCATTTTAGCGAACCTCCTTGGATGTCGACAGGATGGACCGAATAAGCAGGGATGCAAGGGTAGCCTTGATGAAATAGTGTTAGGATTGGCTGCGAGCCCAGGGTGGAAGAGAGGGGGCAGGCCTTCCCAGAAGGCGGCGTGGCTTCTCAGAAGCCCTCGCGCCTTCTGAGAAGTTATCTCTGTCTTCGGGGAGCGCTTAGAATACTTCTCAGAAGGCCCGAGGCCTTCCGAGCCTTCTGAGAAGGCCCGCCTCCTCTCACTTCCCCCTGGGCTCGCCGCCGATAGGCGGGGATAAGCTAAGGGGGCGTAGAGGGCAACGTGAGGCACGTATAAGGCGGGGGGTCAAGGTTTTCGGGCGACTCCATCGGTTCCCGGCGGTTCTCCAGCCTATCGGGGTGCTCTTCACCGGCTGCGCCTCGTCGAGAGCGTTCCGCGGGGGTGCCCGGATCGTCCCGAACGCCCGCCAGGGAACCGAGTTATGCTCTGAAAGCCGAGGGGCACTGCCAGGGGGGGATAGGCTCAGGTGGGGATACATCGTGCCCCAATCGCCCATTCATCGCCAATATTGGGGCCTGATAGCCCAACCCGCCCCTCCCCCGACCCGAGGTCCAGGAAGCTTAGAGGAGGGCCATAGGCTCAGGGGGATAGGGGGCAACGTCAGGACGGGGTCGGGGTTTTCGGACGCTTTCGTCGTTTCTCGGCGGTTCTCCAGCCTCGGGGTGCTCTTCGGCGGCTGCGCCTCGTCGAAAGTGCTCTGGGGGTGCCCGGATCGTCCCGAACGGCAAGGGACCCGAGTTATGACCCGAAAACCATGGGGCAACGTTAGGGGGAGAAAGGCTCAGGGGAGGATGCATCGAGTCCCAGTCGCCCATTCATCGCCGATAGAGGCCGACAACCCAACCCGCCCAGGAACGTGCAGATTCGCGATCGAGGGCCTATCGCCCACACGTCGGCGATGTCTCGCCGATTCTAGGTCGGCGCTCCCCTCCCCGAGTCCGTCCCCCCTAACGTTGCCCCTGATGGAGGAGGCAGCCGACACATCCCGACACCACTCCCAGGAGACCCCCAGGAGGGTCAGGAGAAGACCGCGCGGACCTCCGATCGGGAGCGGCAAAGAGGGGGGTGTCCAAGAGGGGTGTGTGCAAATCATGACCGGCAGCATGTGCGCGGCCCAGCGGAGGGGCCAGGGACGTAATGAAATGAGATGAGGCGCCATGAAATCAGGGGAGATATCATGGCCCGCGCCATGATATCCACCCCCCCCTAGTCATCACCCCCCTCTTTTCCGCCCCCGATCCGACGTTCAAAGTGCTTGTGCCGGTCTTTCTTCTTCCAAGGAGGCCGCCCGTCCTCCGACCGGAGGTCCAGGGAGCCTTCGGGAGGAAGAGTCCGCACACAGCATGACAGCTTTCGGAGGTGCGCGCGGGCTCCTCGGGTCGGCGCCGGGCCCCGCGTCGCGAGGCCTCGGGCACCGCCCCTGGGCCTCCGGAAGTTGGGTGCGCTGGCCTGTCCGTGCTATGGCGTGCGGTCGTTGGGCACGTGCCGTGCAGCGCGATGTAGGACTGCAGGACACGGCAGTGCTTTGTATGTGTCGCGGATCGCGAAGACCCTGAACCCCAAAAACCTTGCCATCTTTTGGGAAACCGATTTTTCCTTCCGCTCCCGCCGGAAGAAACGCCCTCGTTGTACTTCCGCCCGCTTCCGCTGACCGTCTGCCACATTCCGCCGAGGAAGGGATGCCAACTCCTTCGATCCTCGAAGGCGAGGCCCTTTCTGGAACTCCTCATGTGTGCGTTTAGGGGAGAGAGCAATGACGTAAACAGAACAACTCCGAGGCCCGGCGCTGGCCCCCCTCCCTGGCGCGCGGAGCGCGCCAGGGGCGGCGCTGGAGGCTCCGCCAGGGGGCCCCAGCGCCGATCCAAGAAATCTGCGCGGACCTCAGAGTTTTTATGTCTATGTCGCTGTTCGTTCTCCGATGTGTGTATGTGTGTCTATACGCTGGAGCAGTCGCCCTATGACCAGCCGCCGACGCAACATGTTTTTGTGTTTGTTGTTTTTGTTGTGTTTGTTTTTGTTTTTGATGTTGTTATTGTTGTGGTTGTTGTTGTTGTTGTTGTTGTTGTTGTTGTTGTTGCTGTGGTTGTGTGTGTGTGTGTGTGTGTGTGTGCGTTGCGACTCGTGTTAGGTCGGGCGTGTCCCGCTACAGGCGGATTTTGGATGACAAATAAAACATGGTCAGGAAATACCCGCATAATACACAAACACACTGAGCAAACCGTCCCCAGAGTATTTTTTCTCTACCTAGGCTCTGCCTAGAAGGGTTCTTACTCTCTAGCTTAAAGGGGCCGGGCAGTGGAAAGCGCCCCGGGCGGTTCCCCCAGTCCCCTGGGAGCGGTTCCCCCCAGTCCCCTGGGAGCTTTAGCTTTAGCTTTAGCTTAGCTTTAGGTTAGCTTTAGCTTAGCTGTAGCTTATCTTTCGCTTAGCTTTTCGCTTAGCGTTTAGCTTAGCTTTAGCTTAGCTTTAGGTTAGCTTTAGCTTAGCTGTAGCTTAGCTTTAGCTTAGCTTTAGCTTAGCTTTAGCTTAGCTTTAGATTAGCTGTTGCTCAGCTTTAGCTTAGCTTTAGCTTAGCTGTGGCTTAGCTTTAGCTTAGCTTTAGCTTAGCTTTAGCTTAGCTTTAGCTTAGCGTTACTGTTACTACTAATGCTGCTTTCCTAGGGGTTCCAACTCCTAGGTAGGGTCGCACTGGGATAATGTTCCCTACCTAGGCTCTGTCTAGAAGGGTTCTTACTCTGTTGGCTTAAAGGGGCCGGGCAGTGGAAATCGCCCCGGGCGGTTCCCCCAGTCCCCTGGGAGCCAAGCAAAAGCAACAGCAAAGGTAAAAGCAAACGCGCGGTTCCCCCAGTTGCGCTCCCTGGGTGCCAAGCAAAAGCAAAAGCAAAGGCAAAAGTGAAGGCAAAAGCGAAGGCACAACAAAAACATAACATAGCATAGCATAGCATAACATAGCATAGCACAGCGCAGCATAGCATAGCGCAGCATAGCATAGCATAGCCTAGCCTAGCCTAGCCCAGCGTAGTATTGCGCAGCATAGCATAGCATAGCATAGCATAGCATAGCAGAGCAGAGCATAGCGCAGCACAGCATAGCATGATGCTTTCCGAGAGGCTCCAACTCCTAGGTAGGGCCGCACTGGGATAATGTTGACTATTTTGGAATGCTCCTCCTGCAGAAGGACACGCCCGACTTGCGACTCGTGCCTCCTGTGCATGCGGCTTCCTCTCCTTCGGGGAGCCGCTTCCCGCCCAGCGCCTCCGCGAGGAGCCCTGCGGGCGCGGCGGCGGGAACATCGCCCGCGCCGCCGCCCCGGAGTCTCCGTGCGGCCGCCGTGAGCAGCCTCTCGACTGACCCAGAAGGGGCTCCGGCTGCAACGGGGGTGGTGCAATAGAGGCTTGGGGCAAGCGTGTTGCTGATGCGCACGTCGTTCAGTTCTAATCGTGCTCATTTCTAAGTGTGCTCGCTTCTAATTCTTCCTGGCCCCTAGTGGCGAGGAAGAGGCCCAGGACAGAACAATGCCCCCCCAAAAAATTCAAAGCACTTTCGAATACTTAGAAATGAACAACGTGTACTGCGCTGGAGACTTGTATTGCACTGTATTGCGTCTACTGTTTTGCACGCGAGAATCCAGCAATACATGTGCGCACCAGAACGTATTGCACGCCCCCAATCTATTGCAACCCCACAAGCCTATTGCACCAAATCTATTGCACCACCCCCTTTTCGTTGGACACCCTTTTGGGTCAACCAGAAGCCTCCGCATCCCCGTGAAGGTGATGAAGCCGAAGGTCGCCAGCTTCCCGATGTCCGGGCGCTCGTCAGCCAGACTCCCTTCGAGTCATGACGAAAATATCACGATGGCATGTTTTTCGCTATGTTCGGCCTCTGGGGGCTTTTCCCGGGCCTCAGGGCCGTCAAAAAACGACTCGGGATGAAACATCGGTCCTGGGGAATGGGTCGAGACCTCTGGGGGTCGACGTCATGAACAAAATCATGGCGTCGGGGGTCTGCGTAGCGGGCGGTGGGGTAACATAACGCTGCTGAAACTGAAACATAAAACGTTTGGAGGTTTGCGCGGGTTTCTTGGATCCGGCTGGACCCCCATCCCTTCCGCGCGGAGCGCGCCAGGGGCGGCGCCAGAGGCGCCGCAAAGGGTGCCCAACGCAGATCCACGAAATCTGCGCGGAGATCCGGCAGTTTCCGTTCATGCTTTCTTTCTTCCTTTCTTCTTCGAGGGGCATCCCCAAACGGACACTTTCACTTGTCCCAAGCAGCATCCCCCAACGGATTTTCTTCTTCTCCTTCTTCTTCTTCTTCTTCTTCTTCCCCTCTTCCCTCCCTCCGTCTCCCCCCCCCACTTCCTCCTCCTCCTCCTCCTCCTCCTCCTCTTCCTGGAAATATCGTGGTGCATTGCCTTGTGCCTTGTGGATATCTCACGTGTCTGTCGTGCCGAAGCCCACGGCGGCGGGAAGTTTCTGGCACCCGTCGGCCTCCGTGGGCCCCCCTTCCACCCGGCCACAGAGCAATGCAAGAGAGCGGCCCGGGAGGAGCCTCTGGGCCCCCTGGGTCGGGACCCTTAGGGGGCCCACGCTGGGAGCAGATCCCGGTGTCGGATCTTCGGGATGCAGGTAAGGATGCGAGGGCTCAGATAAGGATCATAATAAGTATCATGATAAGGATGCGCGGTAAGGATGATGATAAGGATGCGGTCAGGATGCAGTCAACCCGTATCATGATAAGGATGCGGTCATGATTGGGATGCAGTCAACCCGTGTCATGATAAGGATGCGCGGTAAGGACGCGAGGGCTCGGCAGGCCCTGCCGACGCTTTGCTGGCGGGGAGCGGCCAGCGGGAGCGGCCAAGGGTGGGCCGAGGGAGGAGGGCGCAACGGCCACCTTGGAGAGCCGCTCATCCTTCCCATGCGGGTTGACTGTAAGCGAGGGGCGAAGAAGCGTGCCCCTTGCCAGCGCCTTTCGGGCCCGCGCTGGCACGCGGCAGCCGTCCCTGGGCCCCTCAGGGGCCACTTTCCTGAAGTCCTCGATGCCCTCCCTCCCCGTGCACTGCCCCCCCCCCCACGGCCACCGAGCGCCCAGGATGTCGTCCCTGCCGAACCCGGCCCCCTCGAAGACAGCCAGGTCCGCGAAGCTGATGCCGTACGCGTCCAGCTTCTTGGACGGCGGGAAGATCGCGGCAAAGACGGGGTCGTCTGGCTGTTCCTGTGCTGTGTGCCGGCGGCGAGCGAGGGGCGGAGGAGAGGGGGGAGGGGGAGGAGGAGGGGGAGGAGGAGGGGGAGGAGGAGGGGGAGGAGGAGGGGGAGGAGGGGGAGGAGGAGGAGGAGGGAGGAGGAGGAGGATGGAGGAGGATGGAGGAGGAGGAGGAGGAGAAGGAGCCGGGCCTCCGACGCCGCGGTGCCTCTCCACGGCGCGCCCCCCCCCGCCGCTCCCCCCCTGGGCAAAAGTCTACGTGGGGGGGGGGGGGGGTCCTGGTGGGGGCGCCACCTCCTCGAGGAGCACGACCCCTCAGGACCCCCCCGAAAAAGCCCTCCAGAGGGCAAAAGTCTACGTGGGGCGGGGGTCGGTCCTGGCGGGGGCGCCACCTCCTCGAGGAGCACGACCCCTCAGGAGCCCCCCGAAAAAGCCCTCCAGAGGGCAAAAGTCTACGTGGGGCGGGGGTCGGTCCTGGCGGGGGCGCCACCTCCTCGAGGAGCACGACCCCTCAGGACCCCCCCGAAAAAGCCCTCCAGAAGCTTCCAGAACGCTCCCAATCCGTCCGTGGGGAGGGGGTCGGTCCTGGTGGGGGCGCCACCTCCTCGAGGAGCACGACCCCGCAGGAGCCCCCCGAAAAAGCCCTCCAGAGGCTTCCAGAACGCTCCCCAATCCGTCCCAAAGCGGCGCGGCAGCTGCGATGGCGACGATATAATAGCGGTCACTGCAGTGAGGATGATGACGATGACGATGTTGATGGTGGTGATGATGAGTGATGGGGACAGCGCTGTCGATGCTGGCAACTCTGGTGCTGATGGGAGGTCGGGGAATTGCGCCGCGTCGCCAATGCATCGGCGACGTCGGGGTGGGAAAGCTCGGGCTCCAACTTGAGCCGCATCGCGGCTGCATCGGCAATGCGGCGCTATTCTCCGACCCCTCCTGCTCCGGCCTCGTTTCGGGAGGCCTGGGTTAGTGGTGACCGCCCTTGGTGCTGCCTGACCCTCGGGTGCGCCCAAGACGGGGGCCAGGACTGGGTGGTGGTGGTACGCGTCATGGCCCGAGGCATGGGCACGGGGGGGGCAAGGAGTGTACTGAACGAACAACAGGTGGCCGTGCGATCTGGGAGATTCCATTGCCCCGCCATGATATCCCCCCCCTCTAGTCCAAACCGCCCTTCTTGGACGACTCCGATCCACCCCGGAGCTCCTCCTCACCCCGTTCCCGGGGCTGGGCTCTTCGCGCCACGGGCGACGAGATGGGGTCGGAGGATCGCGCCGCATCGCCAATGCATCGATGACGTTGGGGTGGAGAAGATCGGGCTCCAAATCGCTGAACTAGTGGTGACCACCTTTGGCAGTGCCTGACCCTCGGGTGCGCCATGGCCCTGGCCATGACATCGACCCCCCCTCTTTAAAGGGGCCCAGGGGCAAACAAATAAATACACTCAAGTCTTAGGACTCCCTAGATATTTTCCAATCTTTTCTGGGTCCCCCCACTTCCCATAGTTTCCAATATTTTCCAGGGGATCGACGATTAATGGTGTCTGTGTGTTTTTTGTCCCTCCTGACTCTTGGAGGCCCCCTAGACGCCCCCAGAGCTCCTCACCCCGTTCCCAGGGCCGGGCTCTTCGCGCCAGAGGGCTGTACCCCGATGGCCTCCGCAGAGATCGGGCTGCCTCTCGCGATCGGGGGGGCGTCAATGTGGGGCGGGGGGCAGATGTGGGGTCAGGGGCAACTCCCTCTATACTTGGGAGGAAGGGCTTGGTGGCTTCGGTCCGATGGCGGCTGCCGCTGTCTGCTCACGCAGTGATAGACTACCCAAACGGACTTAATTCACCATTTCGTAGTCGACATGGTGCTTGACCAGTCAAGCAGGCGGTCCACGCAGGACCCTCGTCCCGCTGACCACCACTGGGTATTATGAGGCGGTGGTTAGTGAGATTGGATGCAGATCTTGAAGATCAAAGCCGTTTCTACACACCTGCTCAACCACCACCGCCCCAGCCACCATCTCGAAACCCCTGGAAGAAGGGAGTGCGAACATCCTGCTGGCGGGTCCCAGAAACCCTGAACCCGCAAATGTTGCCATCTCTTGGGGCCGCATCTTTTACTTCTGCTGGCTTCCGTTGGCCTTCCGCTGGCTTTCGCCTGCGGATCCGCCCTCGTTTTACTCCCGCCAGCTTCCGCCGACCTTCCTCCGCCTTCCGCCGAGAATGAGATGCCAACTCCTTCGATCCTCGAAGGCGAGACCCTTGCTGTAACCCGCCAGCTGGGCTCGCTCCCCGGCCCCTGTCTTGGGATATCCAAGAGTGCCAGTAATCGGTTCGATAAATCGGATCGGCGATCGAAATGAATCGGATCGGCGGAAACCGGCAGGCAAGTCGGGCGAAGTGTCAAATCGGCGGACATCGGCAGGCTATAGTAGGGCCCCCAGTGTGACACCGCAACCCTGATCGGAATCCGAAGTCGCATCGAATCGGGATCGGAATCGGTCGAAAATTGCATTGAATCGAATCGGAAGCGTCGAACGGAGCCCCTGGTTACCCCCACCCCCTCTGCGACACCCCCACGTCGCGACGCCTGGAGGTCTGGGCCGAGGTCGCCGGCGCCCGGGGCGCCCGCGGCAGCCATGCCGCTCGGGGTCGCCAACGCGCCGCTCCCCCCCCCCCCCGGGAGCGGATCCAGACCTCCTCGAGTCATGAAAAAAAACCACAGCGGCATTTTTGTTCGTCTTTTCGGCCTCTGGGGGCCCCTATAACCGGCCTCGGGACCGTCCAAAAACGACTCGGGATGAAAAGCTGGTGATCCAGACCCCCGAAGTCGTGATTTTTTCGCAGCGTCGACCCTCAATGGTTTGGACCCCTTCCCCAAGACCGGTTTTCATCCTGAGTCGTTTTTTGACAGTCCCGGGGCCTGGTACGGGCCCCCAGGGGCCGAACAAATAGAAAACCTCCCGTCGTGATTTTGTTAAGACTCGAAGGGGTCTGGGAATGGGGGATGGGTGGAAAACTTTGGAGTCGACGTCATGAAACAATCATGGCGTCGGGGGCAGGGGGGAACTTTCCGTGGAGCAGGCGGGGTCCAGAAGGAAACGGGTCCTGCACCCTGGAGGCCTTCCCCCCAAGACTAGCTCAGGCGGGGTCAAGAAGGAAACGGGTTCTGCACCCTGGAGGCCTTCCCCCAGGACCAGCTCTTCGTCCGGGGGAAGTAATTCCGACGGTCCAAGGGCCCGTGGGGGCCCCCGCGGGAGCCCGCAGACTGCTTACCACATGGGAGCCCGTTTCCCTCAGGACGAGCGCGCTCCACGGCGAGCCTTGGAGAAGACTCTTCTCCAAGGGTCACCGTGAAGACCCTTGGAGAAGAGTCTTCTCCAGGGGTCTTCACGGCCGCCAGCAGGAGCTTCCAAGGGTCTTCCGGGGGTCCTTCCAAGGGTCTTCGCCGTGAAGGCCCGTGAAGACCACTCTTCTTATCAGAAGAGTGGCCTCCTGGCAAGATGTGAAGAGCGTCTCTCGAGAAGACCAGACATCGCCATCAAAAACTTTCAGAGGTCCGTGCGGCCCTTGTTGCTGGTCTCTGTGCTTTATCCTCCCGTGCCGCCCGCAGGATACCCCTCCAGCCTTGACCGCCATGAAGGAAGTTGATCCTCGAGGAAACGGGCCCTAGACCCTGCGGGCTTCCCCAACTACCAATTCTGCATTCTGCATTCTTGGTCGTGTTTTGAAGGTCCTGGGGCCCGTGGAGGGCCCCAGGGGCCTGAAAACGGTGAGAAACCTCGAGCTCCCGACCCCTTCCCGGGGATTTGCTTTTGTTACGGATCAGTTTTGGATGATCCTGGGGCCTTAAAGCGGCCCCTGGAAGCCAAAATATGTAAAACGATAGGATTGAAGAACCATCCTTCCTTTGTCTTGGCGTTCTTCACGCGACCCTGAATAGTCTATCCCCGAACCTTTCCCGGGGTAGCTCCCGACAGGAATTTCGAAGGGAACCCAGCCGTGACGATGAGAAGCTTCCCAGGGAACCCCAGAGGGCCC